TGTCATCACCCTTCGGATGCTAATGGGAGTTAGCTGACATAAGGAAATGTTATAATGGATCAGCAAGTCTCGGACGAATACGTCCAAGGGGAACCTCAGCCCATACTGAAGTTGTCTTGTGTACACCCCCACATACCCCGGGGGTGGACGATGGATTCTATCGGATGCCACGGGCATTCGGCACCAATACCCATCAGCTTCAAGGATGTCGTAATGCAACTCATTTTGTTCGGCAAACCGATACTGTTCAGCATTCTCCACCCACCATGAGTAGGGGCGGTTCTTTATCATGGCCGAAGCTACTTCGGCATCCTCCCACTCCGAAAACCCGGGAAGGATATCCCAAAGGACAGCGGGAACTTCATCGTCCCGCCCAGAAGTGCTCGGCCCCTCCGTTCTCTGAGGAGGAGCCGAAGAAATGGGAGTCGCCCTAATCCCTTCAGCAGGGTCAGACTCTGCTCTTTGTCCATTCCAGGTCCCAATCCTGTTCCTGGGATCGGGAATTGGCCTTGCTCTTCTTGGAGCACGGGCTCTACCTCTAACTCCTCTCACCATTGATGAATTTCGAAGAAAAAAGTCGAAAAAGGGGAAGGAGTTCAAATTCGAAGAAAAATAAACTAAAATCGAAGGAATTTACCTTAATCTGAAGCGAAAGTTGTCGATTTACGAATTGGTAGTGACGAGTCTCAGTTTCTAAGCTTAATGCTCGGGGAATTTGCGAAGTTTTGATGCGGGTTCTTGGGTTCTCTCGAGAATTCTGGGTTTGTGTTGGTGAATAAGTGAGGAGAGATGACGCGCCTCTAATTATATCTCCAGAAATGGGAATTCTGAGAGTCTGCGTTTCAATTCCTCTTAAATACCCCACTAAGTAACCGTTAAACACATGACCTTGCGATTAAACCGCCCATTATCCGTCCAACTTCCACAATTATTCGCCTTAACTGTTGTTATCTCATTAATTACGGTTTAATTACGGTTTAGATTCAAATTTTTTGGATTAATTAAATCATTCACCTCCCTCCTTTTCTGATTAAATCAAACCCGACCCGTCATCCTTCCAATTCGGGTCTAGGGGGCAAGTTGTTTGGGTCCAATTCAGTCCAATTGGGCCTAGTCATTAAATGATCTAATTAAAAGCCCAAGGTCAAGGTTCAACTCTCCAATTGTGCTAAAGTCAAAGATCAGTCCTCAAGGCAAGTCAATTGGGCTAAGGCCCAACTTCTCCATATATGCAAAGGTATAAAAGCCATCAATATTACATTTGTACATTCATTCAACAAAGCCTCAATCAATTAATTCTCTTGCATAGTGTTCTCTTTCTACACACTGTACTGACTTTAGCATCGGAGGGGCCTTCCTCGGCAACACCCCCGAGGCTAGTTTACGTGTGTTTACTGTGCAGGAAACCTTCGGCCCAACATCACTTGGACCGAATCCAGTCTTCTCCACTTCATCGGACCTTCGACAAGGTCCCATTGTTTTCACCCGAAACATATATATATATATATATATATATATATATATATATATATATATATATATATATATTGGGAAACTCTATAGTTTTATTAATGCAAATCATAACCAAAATATTAATGTTGATGGGAAAAAAATTAATGCTAGTTAAAAGATTCCCTTTTAAAAAAAACACTGACAAAAAAAAAATTAATTAATCATGGTCCCTAAACTTTTGCTAACTAGGATAGGTCTCTAAACTTTTTTTAAAATATTATTTTATTTTTTTTCCATATGGGCACTTTGGTCCTTAAACTTTGGTGACTCATATTTTTTCCACCGGAAAAGTAAGTTATGGGTGGTTGAGGGACCAATTTGCTTCGTTTGAAAGATGAGGGACCAAAATGATACAAATACTAAAGTTGAGGGACCGTATTTTAGCTTAACTCAATTTAAAAATAAAGCTATTGACTAGAAACAAGACTAAATACATTTTACAGCATTAGAATAAATTGTTACACAATTTATTCTCTTATAGTGAGCTCTAACTCGAAGAAAGAGTCGTCGTCATCGTCGTCGCTTTGCTCGTTGAGATGGTTGGAAATGGTGGAATTGGCGATGGTTTCAGCGCTATTGGCGTCGCTAGTGGTGGTTCCGGCGGCGAATTTTGATTTGTTTGAGTGGTTGTACTGTTTTTTCATGACTATTGTTAATTTTGTGTTTATTTTTGTTGATTTTGATACTTTGTTTTGCATGTGTAGTTTAATTACTTGTGAAAAAAGTCACTTTTGTGGAAAAAAAAAAGGGTCACTTTTATGGAAATAAAAGTTACTTTTGTGAAAAAAAAAAGTTACTTTTGTGAAAAAAAAAGTTTACTTTTGTGAAAAAAAGAGTTACTTTTGTAAAAAAAAAAAAGGTTACTTTTGTAAAAAAAAAAAGGCAGTGAAAAAAAAGAGTTACTTTTGTAAAAAAAAAAAAAAAAAAAGGTTTACTTTTGTAAAAAAAAGGTTACTTTTGTAAAAAAAAAAAGGCAAATAACCCAAACAAATTATTCTCCAGTACCTGTAATTACTTACCAAGGAAAGTTTCATGTGCAAGTTGGACAAAGTATCCTTGTGTATGATCCCTACACTTGTAATAGATCTCAAGATCTGCCTATTCTCGGGTTCTCCCAGACCCTTGGTCAATTAGTCTAAGGTGCACCCTTGTGCACCTTAAATAGGTGTAACAACGTAGCCCAAAAACCTAATTACACACAACCCAATTAAAAAAAAAAAACCCTAAAACTAAAAAACACAGAAACTGCAATACACCCACCCACACCCAATAAATGTAACGTCATTTCCAAACTCAAAAATCTTCTTCTTCTATATGATTTTCTCTCTCCTCTTTTTCACTTTCTCTCTCCTCTATTTCATTCTTTCACTAAAAAACTGCAAAAACTTCAATGGACATTAGGAAAGAGATGCAAAATCAAAAGGATCCTCCCCAAAAAGACAATTTTATGTAAATTTCACTTAATTTTGTTTGAATATTGTTCGAAATTTATTATTAGAATTGTCAAAAAAAATAGTGAAATCAAAAGGATATTTTATGTTCACATTTCGAAATGCATATGTTTATATTTTGAATTCTTATGTTCATATTTTGAATTCTTATGTTCATATTTTGAATCCGTTTGTAAACTTTCTGAAATGCTTATATTCACTTTCTAAATTCACATGTTCATATTTTTTTATGTATATGTTCACCTTCTGAAATGCTTAATTATGTTCATACTCATTCAAAAATGAACCAATGCATATGTTCATATTTTGAATTCATATGTTCATATTTTTAATACTTATGAATTATGATGCATATGTTTCATAATCATATTATTTTTATTTCTTCAATTTTTTATGTTCATAATAAAATGCCTTATATTCATAATAATATTTTATATGTTCATAATGTAAATATTTATAGTAAATATTTGTTGTTCTCATTAAGTCTGTTTATGCATATCTTCTCTCTCTTAAATGCATATGATCATAATTTATTACGCATATGTTCACTTTTTAAATGGTTATATTCACTTTAAGGAAACCAATGCTTACGTTCATATTTTGAATTGTTATGTTTACTTTCTGAAATGCATATGTTCATATGTTTTATGCTTATGTTCACTTTTTGAAAAGCTAATGTTCACATTTAAGGGAACCTATGCATATGTTCATATTTTGCATGATGTTCATTGATAAAAAAATGCAGAAAATCAAATGAAATTCATACACAAATGAAATTGATCGAAGCAAAAAAAAAAAAAAAAAAAAAAAAAAAAAAATCACATGAATTCAAAAAATCAAATAAACAACCAATTCCATATTGTAAGTAACATATTCAATCGTTAAATCGAAAAAAAGAGAAAAATAAGAAGAAGAAAAAAAGAGGAAAAAGGAATTAAAGAAGGAAGGAGAAAAAATAGAGTATAATTTGTGAATTCAAAGATTCATAAATACCTTAATCAATCGAAATTAAGGCACAAAATCGAAATTCACACAAAAATTCATACTTAATAACTACTTTCATGTTGTAAGAAACAAATTCAATAAAAATAGTGTAAAAAGGGGGGGGGATAAAAAAACAGAGGAAAGAGAAAATAAAAAATGAAGGAGAAAGATAAAGGAGAAGAAACCTAATGTTCACTTTCTGAAAAGCTAATGTTCATATTGTGCTGTTGTTACACCTATTTCTAGGTGCATGAGTGTGCAGACTGTGCACCTAAGAATATGTAACCCTTGGTGACATGTTAGTACCAGGCTAATGGCTCTTATAAGATGCATGGTGACATGGAGCCCGCAAAGCCCAAACAGGTTGTGGCTCGCTCCTATGGAAGGATTCTCGTGTTGTCGTGGTTCCATGTGGACTTGTCAGTTGCGTGATAAAACTGGTACATTGTATCTTTGGCGCCTTGAACATGGCTCTAACTAGAGTCTGTGAAAAAGGCTAGTTTGAAGTGCACTACTGAATTGGCTAACAAGTGCCAGGCATATGGTACTTTGGTAGAGTGCTAGTGAAATCGGGACTTTAGAGGTTGTTGATCAATCTGCTCAGAAAGACTTCTACTCTTGGGCGGATGCTTTTCTCTTTAGAGTCCCTGCTGCTGTCCCATGAGTAATGATAGATGATTTTCTCTTTCAAAGTCGTCCCTGTTATCCCATGACTAACGAATGATGCTTCTTTTAGGAACAAATATTTCCTTATTGTGCTTTCACAACTATTTCATTATCGTAATTCTTTTATATGCTGAACAATTTCAATCAATAAATATAATTTCTTTTTGAACAATATTATGGTTTGAATTGATAGTGTATAATGATGTTCGTGCTATGAACTGTTTAAGCTGTCGTTTACTAATATCAGTCTTCGGTTTCTTTCACTATAGATATAGTGATCAAAGAGAGCGAATTCAATTCAATCGCCCTTATTGATCCAGTCACCACTAATATCAGCCGCTTACTAATATCAGTCTTCGGTTCTTCATATTGAGGAGTGTTAGAATGGATGCAGAGTATTAATCCGGGTCAGCAATCAGGCCTCAAGTGGGAATTTGGAAATTGATTACAGAGGGATGATAGATTGATCAAATTTCTTTTGCATTGACTGCCAGAATATGATGCAAAATTTGCCTAACTATTAGTAGCTGCACAATAAAATTAAAAAAGACCAAATGGAAAAAAGGCTAAGGAAAAAAAATCACTGAATTCTAGGATCTAAATCAGCTGTATAATGAAGAAAATAGTTTGTTCAAGGCAACCTAGAAGGTAGCTGGCCTGACTGGGAATCACTAGGAACGAACACAGGAAGCTGTGCACCCCTCTGTGATCGGCCCTGCTGAAAATTCCCACCTCCTCTATCCCTCTCGCCCACTCCTCCAGCAGCTCCTGACCCCCCAGTACTTCTGGCTCCTCTCGTCAAATTCTCGTTCACGAGAGGACCACCAAAGAAAATGGATTGACCAGTATATGAAAGCTCAGCCCTTGGAGCTGCTGACGAGGAAGAAACACCTGCGCCTCTAGAAGCAGCTGACACAAATCTTCCAGCTTCTGGATCCCAGAAAACTGTATTTTTTGTGCTTTCTCTGACATTTGGCTCGTTTTTCTTCACAGGTGGTCGTACCAAACTAGAAGAAGCTGCGTTATCACTCAGCTCAACTGCTCTTGACGATAAAGGGGACTGATTTGCTGATGATTGGTACATGGGATTAAAGTGATCTGTATTTGAGGGCAACGGAGAAGGGGTAGCTATTTGTGATGCGTGAGGAGGACTACTAATGTTACTTGCACTCCGGGCAGAGGCCTCGATATCCTCCCTGCTTGCCCTGCTTGGTGGATAAGAATTCTTGGCAGAAGAAAGCCTTGGTATTCCTACTCTCAAGTTTCGGTTAAGAAACCCTGATGACTTAATGCTCATAGGACTGCTTAGCCCACTCACATTGCTGCTGGATAACTGGTCACTGTCATAATGGTGCGGTCGAGAACTGACTGGGCGTAGTACAGATGATGATGCTCGAGCTTTGGCACCAGCTTTAATTGCCTCTTTAGAGTCTAGTTTTGCAAGCTTCCAAGCACTAATCTTGACAGGGCGCTGGGGTACCCTTTTTCCCTTATCAGCGGGTTGTATAGCATCTGGGTCCACAGTAGATGGCACAGTTCCAGGCTCTAGATGTTCAATTTCATCCTGCTCGAGAAAAGCAAGAAAGAGAAAGAGAAAGAGATCAATTTTTATTCAGCTAAAGAACATGTTTGACACATACAAGAGCACATGTACCTAGATTACCTACCCCTTTAATCTTAAAAGTTAAAACCCCTGTTGATAACATTTCACCTTCGATAGACTTTACTTTCGATTTGCCTCAAGTACCAATATCAAATTTCAGATTATTGACACTAGATATTATTATTAGTATGAACATTAAGCAGTAGAAAACTTAAACTTGGCCACAAATTGTACTTCTATGGAACATATTTGTCTCCCAAGTGAGCAGGGAGAACACATAGTGATGTCTGATAATCTGATATAACTAGCAAATTGAATCAAAATCTAATCAATTACTTCGTAATATTTAATAGTCATATCCAGAAGATACGTAGATACGAGTTAGGGCCAGTTGCTACTTAGTGTTAGCATAAGAATAAAAAATTCTATAAACAAAAGATGTATGGGCGGAATGAAGATAAATTTCCTTGGAGGCAAAATACTTGTGGCTCTAAGCCAACAGCTTATAGATTATTACTCCAGATTAGTTCATTAAGTTTAAGGGGCCATACGCAAGATTTTTTCCACAGATAGATCCGTCAGCCCCATTGATTACCTGTGCAAGGTATGACATTTATTACTAAATATAGAAACATCTTATCCTAACAGCAAACCTGCACTTATCACCCTGTCCTATAGCATTGTAAGCAGATACGTTTGATTTACTATGTGCTAAAAGGGTCCTAATGTCAAAAGGGTTTCAAGAAGAGGTAATTTTGTGATTTTGTATTTTGTTATACATTGGCAAAATTGGGGTGGATAACTGATTTAGGCTCTGTTTGTTTTGACGGAAAACATTTTCTTGGAAGATGTTTTCCATTTTTCAATGTTTGGTTAGTAACCAGATGGAAAACAATTTTCCCAAAGGTGGAAAATAGTTCTGCCTAGAATTGAAAATGTTTTCCTTTCGTAAAGAAGGTATGCCACATGCCTTTCTACTTCTTACATCCACCAACTCTCCTCTAAACCATCTTCTATCTTCCACTCCTATTTTTCCCTTCTATAAATTTTCTTTTAAGGAAACAAACAATGGAAAACTATTTTTACAATTGTGTTTTCTCTCGACAATTATTTTCCATGAAAAATCATTTTCCCAAACAATTGTTTTCCGTTAAAACAAACGGAGCCTAAACAAATACTCTTAACATAAGACTATTATAGTACCTGTTGGTCCATGAAGATTCTTGGTGGAGTACACCAAGTTCCTTTGTATTGCAAACCCATTCCAACCGAGCTTCGTCCACTTATGGCAGTAACTGCAGAGCTTGTTGGTGAAGATGGTAGACTTAGCTGATCACCACCAACTGATGGTCCGGGTGGTTCACTTTGAGTCCGCATAGCAACAACATACTCATAAGTCGTAATGCCCTGTAGCAATGATTGTATGATTTAAAAAGGAAATAAATGGGATGCAAAAGAGTTTGCAGCACAATAATTCATTGAAATCCACATGTTTAGAAAAAGTTTTGATTGAACAAGGGAGCGGGGCACCAGAGTAAATAATTTGGGGTTGAGATAATTGAAATTCAGACCTTTCTGATAAGAATTATATGGAAGAAGAACAGTTCTCCCAAGGGTATGATAGCCAGAAATGAGACTAGTGTGCCAAGGGCCTGAAGAAAAACAATATCAGAATCAAATTTCAAAAGAAAACGGCCACAGGGAGAGCTATGGCCATGATACAGATAAATCTACACAAGAAGATTAAAGCCAAACAGCAACAGGAACAAAAATGGTCCATCACATTTTTAACAAGGAGAAATATATGCTAATTTAGTAAAAACAAAATTGTACTTCCTTAATTGCCCACCTCGAAGTACACATGACACTTACATTTTCAATTATATTTCATCTTACATATTTTATCAGCATCCCCAAACTTTGTCCTACTTTATCTCTCCTAAGTCTTAATCCCTAAACTTTCTCTTACTTTGTCTCTATTCATCTTTCTTCAAGCTTCTTTATTTACTACCTCCGTTTCATATTTTTTGTAACTTTGGAATATTTTATATCTCACAAATAATATCCCAAAGTTGCAAAAAAATATGAAACGGAGATGCGTAGTATTTATTTTTGTAAAAAGGAAAAGTGTATACAGCCAGAGAAACTATGACTGACAAAAGCACCATCACCAACCAGTACAGATAACTCAGATAAATCCTTTTTTTTTTTTTTTGATACAGGACTCAGATACATCTTCCTTGTAGCAGATAAAGCTAAATTGTCCCAACATTTTTTTTTTTTTTTGGCAATTGAAGCATCTCCATTTTAACTACCATATAGACACCAAAAGAGAAGTAATCCTGCCCCAGTTTTGACCTCAAGAACCACATAATGCTGGAAAAAAAATTAGCATAAAGCATAAGCAGAAAAATTCAGTGAGAAAGCCATAAACAGTACCACTATAGTAGCAAAAACAGGGCGTGAAAATCCATCTCCAAGCCTCTCGATTATTTGATGTTCAGTGGCCTCTTTAAAAACGAAGCAGCGAACAAGGACCCAAATGCCCACACCACATTCCGCAACAAGCTGTCATTAAAATGCAACATGTATCCCATATTTAGCAAGTTGTGATTAAGAAAGATCGATGCAAGTAACTAGAAAAAAATGAAAATAATTAACATTTTTCAGGACTCACCCAAAGAAGGCTCATTGCCATAAGTGTAACAAATGTAAAATAATTCTTCCTGCCAACACAATTATTCAGCCACTGCACAAAACAAGTAGAAAAAAATTATAAGCTGTTATAGGAGTTAACAATGAAGAAATTCGTTTGCCTTCACCAAAAGAGTTAGTGAATAGTCAATTACGTCTCCTGAACAGAATGTTCATACTTAGGGCTATGGAATAATGCATTCAGTTCACAAGTAGAAAATAATATTGAAGTACTAATATTTTAAAACTCACCCGACAATGATGGTCGAACCCATCAACACATTTGTCACAACTCCTGCAGTGCTTACTGAACTTACGCACCTGCAAGACAACAACTAGTGAACTTTAACTTCATGACTTCTTTTGGTCAAGTGAAATGTAAAACCAATAATGTTATCGGCCTTATCGCTCTTAGTTATAAATTTCCAGTCACTAATAAACGGATCACCCCACCAACAAATTGTGAAAGGTCCCACTCAAATTTTGCAACAGTAAACATGAATATGCATCATTTGCTAAGAAAGCAATATCATCTCATACTAAGGCAATTCGTCAAGATGAATGATCCTTTACCTCAGCATTACACAATGTGCAAAATAAAGCATCTTCTTCTCCTGATGATGGCTGAGCAGCCTCCTCATCATCTCGACAATCTTCTCGCACAAGGCAAAAACAAAAGACTCCTCCAACTTTTGAACAAAAAGTTAGCTGTGCACTTGACCTTTCACCAACCCCAAACTCAGCTTTGCATGGCTCTTCTATTGAAGATGCGTTACCTGCTCATAAAAGCCTTGTGAGCAAGAGCAAAAGCAAAAGCTAGATTTGAAGCTAAATGTCCCTAAATTCAATAGGTTGCTACGATAGATTTGCATATACTCAACAGAAAAACCAGTTGCCCCAATTTTCACCAACAAATATAAAACTAGACACAAGGACAGCAGGCATCACATAACACTGGTCATTGCCTCAAAAGTTTGGAGACCCTCAAAACATTGCAAGATTTTTATGAACACCAGTATTACCTAATACTCCAATCCTGTCATTGCCTCATAAGTTTAAAGACCCTCAAACCATTGCGGGATTTTTATGCCCCCATCTCCCACGAATAGCATATTGGTAAAATGCATATTGGAACACAAATACTAGTATGCCAGAACACTTTTGACCTTTTGTGCTGATATTACATAATTAGGTTATTGCAATTTCTTACTCGCTCCACATACCGAAGTGTACAACGTATAAAATTTTCCTGATGAGGACACAACTAATGCAACTTGAACTGACCTGGCAAACTGGCTTCACATTGTGACCTAGCTATTCTGTCTGGTTCAATCAGAATACCAGGATCAGCTGGATCAATAGCTGTGCTTCTAGCATAAAGTATCAGCACACCCAAGGCCTGCACGTATTAATATACATTATGAATGATCATTGGGGATTGATAGTAAGGTAATCAATAATATGAAATCCAAATGGGTATTAGAATAAATTAGAGATTTATGTGCTCCATGGATCTCTATCTTGTGCTATGATTACATGGAAGGGTCAAATCTTACCAGGAAAGTATAACCACCAATAGCCAGATACTCATAAAATACATCCTTGGCAACAAAGGGTGCAAAGAACGCATAATATGCAATTGTTAGCAGGAAATACACCGTAATAGCCACAATCTGGTCACAGCAAAGATTAAAATAAAAAAGTTAGGAGCTACAAATTTAGCTAGATATAAACTGTGATACGGTTACATATACATTTCAAACCCACTACAGAACCTCCAGTAAAGACAAATTCATTTAGAACGATTACAAATTCAAAGCAGCAATCATTCGTCTAACAAAGATCACTTTGGGAACATAACAGATCTTCATGTCTCAGGCATTGAACTCCACAAGAAAACCCAATTATTGATTTCTCCTAGGTAAATTACTTAGTTAAATGGCTCAGGAAAGCAAACAATGTAAAAATTTGAGGGATCAAATACATGAACACAACATCAATATCAGGACTTCCTTATATTCCCAATAGCACTGCCACTGCCCAACAAACTATTTTAATGCTTCTTCCCCACACCCAACATTAGGCATTTGTAACAAATTATCATCAAAGATATTAGTGAACTGCCATACTGTTAATAATCTTTATCAAATAACCGAGATGTTCAGCCATCATTATTAAATGCTCACAGCTCACAAAAATATTGAAACAGAACAAAACCATTAGTCATATTATACAAGGTGATGCTCTCATACTTCCATGTAATTGAGACACCCATCAATGTACCTATTACAATATTTCCAGCAAAATTATTAGAGCTTCAGCAATTTAACAGCCAATGTTGGATTTCGATTAGGGGAACTGGGGAAGAGTTCAAACACAAATTTATTTGGATCAAGAAGTGGCAATACTAAAGAACAGTAAAAATATTCACAAAAGTGACAACCAAGAATATTATGAAGCTTGTGGAAATTCATGCAAAATCCTAGACTAAGTCATACAAGAAAAGTTGCTTCCCACAGTCAACAACTTGTAATTCCTACCACCAACTCACTTGATTTACACTACCAGAAAAGGCACAAAAAATAACTACTCACTTTTATGACACTGATGTGCTACCTAAATTCAATTTCTCTTTAGTTTGGTCACATCAATTGATTCCACTAGAATTACTATAATTTTTTATTTTATTTTAACTGTATTAGAAAATTAAGGGGGAAATTAGCAATTAGTCTGTAATTAAGAATCCCTAACTAAACTACCAGTCTACCATCCCTAATAGTACACAAAATGAAGCAAACCAAAAGTTCCATCAAAAATTGCTAAAGAAGACAAAAAAGAAAACCCATCTTGAAGTATATATACTTAAATCCAAAATAACAAACGAACAAACCAACAAGTACCTAAAATACAGATCTCCATTACTTTAATCAGACCAAAAACTTGCACAATTCACAATTCTAAGAAAAGCAACGAAGAAACGTAAAGATCCACCTTTTTTAAATAAAAAATAAAAAAATTCTCTCATCCTAAAGCAATAAACACAAAAATTACTAAATTTAATTTTTGCTAATAATAATACCATTATAATTTCTTTGACAATATATAGCCTACTAGTCTCCGACTAATCCGAATTCAAGCCGGGTTCACGACTTTATCAATAAAGGATTTGATGTAAATGCTATTATTATCAAATCACATTTTTAGACACTTTTGCTGAAATCTCCACTACCATAAACAAAAACAAAACGAAGTAACTGTAAAATAGAAATGTACCTGCAAAGAATGAGCAGGGAGTTCCCACCCATGACGTCTAGCCATTGTTAAAGCTTCAACAAACAGCAACAATGAACACTCTTCCAAATCCCACTAAATTAAATTGAATTTTACTCTCTTTCCTTCAGTTTTGAATAACAAAATCTGAAACATTTGCAGTTTATCTCAGAATTCTGACTCTGACCCATTTGCTATAACCACATTTGGAGAACACCCACTAATTTATATACTATGATCTTGAATTATTAGGGTTTATGAAGCTCTAATTTCATAACCCAGAAAAAATGAAGCAAAATGTGAGGATTTGCTCACTGGTTTTTTAAAACTGTTCTTCCTAAAAGAAGAAATTCCCCCATATTTTCCAAAAAAATAATTGCTCTCAATAATTTAATTTAATTTAGTGTTAATCTTATACTAATTGCCATTGAATACAGCAATAACAGCAATGTGAGTGAATATGATAGAGAAAAAGAGGAGAGAGAAAGGAGGAGAGAGAAAATAAGTAAAATACTGGAAATTGCAATAGTTTAGTGAAGGGTGTTGGGACTAGAGACGACCGTGGAAGACGGCACGCAAATTTTTAAATTATTTAATTTGTTCGTTTAGCAATTTTAGGTTATTGTTGTAACAAATTTGTATCTTCCCGTTTAGGAATGAAATCAAAATTAATATTTTGGATAGGAAATTATTTATGACATGAATTTATAATTTTCAATGATAGGTGCAGAGGTGCTTGATTGAGAAATAATTCAATTAATAATATTTTGTACCTTGTATACTTGTATTCATTATTGTAGTTTGTTTATTACAATTGGTATTTTTATTCGAACTAATACTCATATTATTATCGATTGAAATTTGAAATTAATATCATTCACCAAAAGGTAGGGTCTTTATTGAGGATTATATAGAGGCTGAGGCTTACCATTTAAAATGTTTAATAAGCAAATGCTTATGAATAGGGGATCGGACGTATATTTACACCCCTAAAAATGTTTGTTTACTCATTTGAAAAAATAACAAATTCTTAACACAATATGTGACGTATTTTACAACAAGTTCACATTTTCACCTATAAAAATTTATTTATTACTTCGTAATTATTAGAATTTAGAAGTTATAAACAACAAAGCAACACAAATATCAAATCAATTCGGAGTAATAACTACTTTTGTTATTCCTTGAATTATTTATAATTTAAATAATCCATCAATTATATACTCGTATGAAACTATAGATATGTTCATAAAAGACATAGGCCTTATTTGGTAGTAAGCTTATTGGGGGTATATTAGCTTATTTGACTAACTTTAGCTGATTGACTAGTCAAACAAGCTAATATAAGTGTTTGGTGGAAAGCTTATTGAAAGAGCTTATTCCACTAAATAAGCTCTTTTTGAAAAAGCTCATTTAAGGAGCTTTTTCAATTAGCTTATTCATTAATTATTGTGAAATAACACTTATAACCTCATTTAATTTAAAATCCTATCTAAACTACCTACCCCACAATTAGCTTATTGGTCATTTCACATACTCAATCACCTTTAAGCTATCAACTATTTACCAAACACTTTTATATAATCAGTTAATACAATAAGTTAGTCAAATCAGATAAAAAAATCAGCTAGTCAAAATCAGCTAACTCAATCAGCTTCAGCTTTCTCCCAAACAGGGCCATAAAAAAAAGGTCATGTTTGATAGTAAGCTTATTGGGGGTATATTAGCTTATTTGACTAACTTTAGCTGATTGACTAGTCAAACAAGCTAATACAAGTGTTTAGTAGTAAGCTTATTGAAAGAACTTATTCCACTAAATAAGCTCTTTTTGAAAAAGCTCATTTTAGGAGCTTTTTCAATTAGCTTATTCATTAATGATTGTGAAGTGACGCTTATAACCTCATTTAATTTAAAATCGTATCTAAACTACCTACCCCACAATTAGCTTATTGGTCATTTCACATACTTAATCACCTTTAAGCTATCAGCTATTTACCAAACACTTTTATATAGTCAGTTAATACAATAAGTTAGTCAAATCAGTTAATAAAACCAGCTAGTCAAAATCAGCTAATTCAATCAGGTTCAGCTTTGAGCTTTCTCCCAAACAGGGCCAAGGAGAGTATGAAAGAAACAACATTAGATGCTTTTTTTTTTTTTTGGAATCCACATTAGATGCCTTAAAATCGAGGATATTTGGAAAAATAATTCAAAATAAAATAATAAAGATCAATTGAAGAGTTTACATAGAGTGATTTGTGTTTTATAATGTTGTATTATGTATAGATATATATTTCATTTGAGAGATGGTTTTGCGTAGAACGGACTCACGTGTGCACACATTTATCCCCGGCCACTGCCACTGTCTAGTCCCCTATCGGCGGCCGGCAACCCTCCTCCTCCCATCCTGGCGCCAGTTACCCTTCCCCATTTAAGTAAGGTACTTGCAGCACCTTCATACTAGAACGAATCTCCTCTGCTTATAAACCCATCGTCCATCAAACATGTTGCACTTCTTTCCAACTTTTTTTTTTGTTGATTTATCAATGTCATTGAGAATAAAATTAGCAAGGGGTCGATTTGGGATTGTGGTTACGAATTGATTGCGGGGGTTGAGGAGGTGGTCGTTTGGTTTGCTCGTGGTTGACGGATTTGTGGGGTTGTGAGCTGTGAAGTGGTGGCTGGACACACTTGTGAATTAAGAGTTGGTGGAACGATGCTTTTGTTAGGTGCGTGAGGGAAGGTGGAGATGGATGGCTGGCTATGATAGGTGGATGCGGTTTGTGGCTGATTTGGGTAGTAATTTGGGTGGTCAAATGGTGAATGGTGGTCCGGTGTTGCGGGATGCGGGGGGTGATTGTGGTGATTATATGGTGGTACAGTCGCTGACTAATATCACCTATTATCAAACAAAAAGTATCTAATACCTGACGAATATAATCTATTATCAAACAAAAAAAATCTAATACCTGACCATACTAACATATTATCAAACAAAAGAAATCTAATACCGACCAATATAACCTATTATCAAACAAAAGAAATCTATTACCTGACCAGTATAACCTAGTATCAAACAAAAGAAATTTAACATCTAATCATTATTATCTAAATTCTAACACTTATAATCTAATATCTAATATTTATAATCTAATATTGGATCATTATTATCTAAATTCTGACAATTAAAAATTTATTTTTTCCTGTTTGTATGATTGGACTCATGTGAGTCCGTTCTACATAATATTTTTCCCTCATTCTTTGATTGTAAAGCATCATGACATTAAATTAGAGAGGAAATAGAATAGAAGGGCTTTATTATTATTCATCAATAGGTTGATTATTTATACAAAATCTAAAATCATATGATAGAAAACAATCTTCCTAAAAGATATCTACCATATCCATACATCCTAAAGAAATATTCTCTAAATAATATCTTTAACATAAATAAACCTAAATATATTATTTTCCTAATAAGATCGATACGAAAAACATATCACATATATATTTTCCGATAATAATGATATCTTCTTTTTTTTTAACACAAAAGGAAGCATATATTACTTAGGTGTTAGCCTTAATAGTACATATTAGTAATCAAGCAGTGCGCAAAGAAAAATGCACTCTTTGAATGCCAGAAGTGCCAAAGTTTCTTAAAACTACTACATATAAGGTGTTCATAAGCTTAACTAAGACAATACGGACATATTGAAAACGGCTAGGGATTAGGCCTAGCTTGTAAAGCATTGAGATCATCTTCATAGGCAGCAACAACAATATAATGTGGTTTATGACCCACAGCCATAGTCATTGCATATTTGGCCAAGTAGTAGCCAAAGAATTCAGCTCCCTTGGAATAGTATTAAACATGACGACCATCTTCTTGTTGTTAAGAGCCCTGTCCACATCAATGATAAATGTAGCTAATTCATTTTGCATGTAATCCCCTTCTCTGTTCAGCAACCCTTTTATGGACTGCGCATCTGTTTCCACTTCTAGGTATTGCAGAGGCATGGATTGAAGCATAGCTCCTAAGGCATAGCTCCTAAGGCATTTGGAGCATTATACTTGCCGGAATAGCTAAAAAACCACTCTCTCTTATTGTTTCTGAAAACTCCACCACCTCCACCTTGTTCAGAAGAGACCCAAGCAGCATCTGTATTGAGCTTGATCCAGCCATGTCTAGGAGGGCACCAGCAAGGAGGTCTAACAATGGAAGGACCTGCACCATCTGAATTTTTCCCCTTGCAACCAGAGGTACCTTGTAGAACAAATGAATTGATTTGATAATATATAATGAATCTGTTGAGCACATAATTACAGTTATAAACCTCATTGTTAAAAATAAATCCATTTCTTAATCTCCAGATATGCTACAGGCCCACGATAAAAATAGATTTCCATTTTGGTGTTTGGGAGAAGTTATACAACGACCAATCATTCCAACCAAAATTCATAAAAAGATGAATAATTGAAATTAGGAGGTGGCTTGATCTTTTGTAAAATCATTTTCTAGAGAACCAAAAGTGTGGCAGTCTCTGAACAAATAAATAAAGGTTTTAGAAGGTGATAAATACCTTGAGCAGACAGGATCAAATCCTGGACACTTGGAAGCAAGAAGAGCTATAGATGGAAAAATGGAGTGCACACAGTTCCACATAAACATTTTATATTTAAAATAAACATTTTATATTTAAATGGAACTTTGAGCTTCTAGAAAGCTTTCCAACTAAAGGCAAAAGGGAGGATGAAAGGAGAGGGATCTTTAGAGAGAAAATAAGCTATTTTTATTGTGAAGACTCCAGACACATGATGTTTCCATCTTAGCTGATCTGAAGATAAAGGAGGATCAAATAGGCAAATGGGAGTGCAAAGGATTTGGTTGCAAATGTATGTTGGTAAAAGATACTTGATGTCATCAATATACCATTGACCATTTCTAATAATACTTGAAACCCTCCTATGACACTTTGATTGTGGTATATCAACTAGTAGAATTTTATAAAGAGGTGTATTCCCAACCCAAAGATGATACCACAAAGAGGTGTCCTCTCCATTCCCAATCCTAATGATTATACCCTTAAACAACAAATCTCTCCCCCTTAAAATATCTCTCCACATGGAAGATTGAGAGGAGTAAGGGATACAGTCTTGCAAGTTAGTCCTACTAGCATAATTATCCTCCAAGATTTCCACCCAAAGTTTACCAGGTTTAGTCAAGAAGGTCCAGCCTAGTTTTGCCATGAAAGAGAGGTTCCAATTAGACAAAGATCTTAGAGCTAAGCCCCCCATAGAAATAGGGATAGTAACATTATCCCATTTTGTTCTAGGAGTATATCTAATTAAATTAGTTCTATTCCACAAAAACCTCTTGCAACTTCTCAATATCAATCAAGATGGAGATAGGAAGAAGGCTATGTTGCATAGCATGAACTGGATAAGAACTTAGAACTGATTTAATTAAAGTGCGTCTACCAGCCATATTTAGAAGCTTAGCCTGCCAACCTTTAATTCTGTCTAGGTTTTTTGTGATTATCTCCTAATAATCTGCCTTTCTTAGCTTGTTTGGAGCAATGTTAATGCCCAAATACTTACCAAAAGAAAATCTAGACTTGAAATGACAGAGCTAGACTAACTGA